GGAAGTGGCCAAAAGCTTCCATACATTCATTTCCACCTTGGTCTTTTGCAGTTGTTTGACCACATCGCTATTCACAGGGTCGATGGGATCAACTATCAGATGTGATTGTGGTGGAGGTGGAGGTGGGTTTAGGTTGTTGCAACCGTCCACTTCTGGTGAGAACCTTGACCTCGAGGTCCCCCCAAACATCTTCACTGGTGCCGAGAGATGAACAGGCTATGTCTTTGAGATAGACGTCTTCATCATCACTATCCCAGATCCCATTCACTTCTTCAGTGCTTGAGATAAATACAACTTCTAGCAGAGGTTCATTCACAGATTGAATGAGTATCGACGGATCAAAGGAGACTTCATCTCCCATGATAGCCAGAGCATCAGAAAGAAGACCTGTTTGAATGTTAGGCTTCTTTCCCCCTAGAGGGACAGGAAGTTGGTTATCATCAATCAGGTCTTGGATTGCGTCTTTCAACGTCCCAACACTTCTAAGTGTTTATGACCCTTGCCTTGGTGATACTTGCAATAAGTGTTGGGGTCATAGTTAGCGGTCCTATTCTCAAGTCGAGGTTCTGGAAATGGTCCGATTGGCATAATCAGTCCCTGACCATGAAAAAAGGTCATAAGCAGCATCATAAGTCATTCCCAAAGGCGTATAAAACCCTCCTTTGCCTTTGGAATCTTTGAGGAGGAGCATTAAGGGCCAGCACATCATTGATGTTGATATTGTTGGTAGCATTATTGGGCTTAGAAGACGAAGAAGAAGGAGTGTCGTTCTTCTTGTTTTTCCAAGTACTGCTGTTATTGTTGCTACCAACAGACTTCATCAGTTCGTCTTCGATATTGATTCCAATATCGTATACAACATCAAAGGTACTTAAGGGCAGAAAATTTAGGTGTTGCTTGTACTTATGAGTCAGGTTGGCAATGAACAAGCGAACCATTTCCTTCTCCTTGGGAGGATCCACCAAGAGCGCAACTGTTTCTCTCCATCTGCTTAGGTAAGTGGTGAAGCCTTCATTCTCTTTCTGTTTTGAGAATGGAGAGTTCACGTTCAAAATTCTTGGCCTGGATGTTACACTTGTACCAATTCATAAAGCTTTCAGTAACATCCTCCCAGGTCGCGACATGCTTGGATTCCAGATAATAGAACCACTGTTGACAGGCATGTTCTAAGGAAAGAGGAAACACCGTAGGGAAGAGTGTCACATCTACTCCCTTAAGAGCCATAGTTGCAGAAAAAGCCTTCAAAATGGAAAAGTGGATTATCAGTAGGCTTGAACTTGGGAAATATCAGCAGTGGAAAACTTCTCAGGAAGCTTCTCTCTTATAGACGAGGAGGTGATAGGCTGTTCCACATTAAGTGAACTCTTCGGAAAATCTTGCTCATTTGTTCCTTGATCTTTGTCCATCGCAGCAATAGTGACACTGTTTTGCTTGTCTTTCTCTACAGTGCTGACTCTAGTAGTAAGTATCTGCATCATGTCAGACAATCTTTCGATTGTCCTGTTGAGGTTCTCGATGTCTTCCTTAGTGGCCATTGGTTGAAAGTAGACTGGAGACGGATCTTGTGGAGATGATTGAGGTGGTTTCCTTGTACGCCTCTTTGGTATAAGAGGTTGTTGGGGTATGGACTCAAACCGTAACAATCTACCCTTGCTTCTTGCCCAAGTGCTGTGACACCGAAACAAACACACCTTTTAATGACCAAACTTGACCTTAACCTATCTGGATTAAAAAAAAGAAATTTTTTTTTTATTGAAGCTCTACTTATTAAAAAAAGAAAACATGGGAGGATACCATCCGACTTACTCCGAAAAAAAAAACGACACAAAAAACGAAACTTCCCTAAAATACGGTCAAAAGTGGTGCATTGACTAAAAAAGTGTGTGGACATAATATGTGAGTGATTAGGTGAGGTTATAGACGCGTGTTTTGACCGTATAGCTAGACACGACTCAATACTGGACACAAAAATCGAGAAAAAAGACTGACGAGACACATTCCTGGGCACCAAGTCACGGTTGCAGACTGTCGTGACACGGTGCAGTCTACCGTCAGACGGTAGATATTCCTGTGTCACGGCACTGTTGACCGTGACACGGCAGAACATGCCGTGACACGGTGCGCAGTTCCATGTCTGTTTTTGTGATTTTTCATATTTTAATCGATTTTAAGTCCGTACTAATTACTATGTGAGAATAAAAAACCCTCGGTCATGGGTTAAACAAAAAGAGCAAACGTATGAGGGTTAGCACCAAAACAACACATAGCATTTAGGCACGATGATGTAAAAAAGTTCGCAACCTAAAGTCAAAGATCTATGTTCAACTATTGGTCAAGCTTTGTGTGTCAAAAGGATACATGGTTAAGAGTTTGGACGCGTTAGCAAGGCAGCCTCCCTTGAGGGTGTATGCCAACGGGCGGCTCCGCGAGTTCGTGATGAAATCGAACTCGACTCCATGGTTTGGGTGGATTTAATGACTCGGATGAACCCTTATTGCATGAGCATTTTTGGGTCGATAGAGCTTAAATCCCCCAGGGCTAAGACGCATGTAGAACACATACGTTTTTTCAGAAAAATCGAAGGAAGTCGACTGTGAGAAAAGAAAATAAGCACCTGTCAGATTTTAGGACTGTCGTGACACGGCAGACTCTGCCGTGACACGGCAGTCAGAAAATCTAACTGGTGCCCTGTTTGCTTTTGCGCGCAACCAAGTTATCCAATTTTTCCTATGGGACATACCTGAATACGACGTTGAAACGTCTATGCAGATGCAAAAATGCCAAATTAATCACAGGAATATTTTTTCAAGAATCTTTCAAGTCTCATCCACTCATCTTAATTAAATACCAATCACTCAAATCGATAAATAATTAAGAATCCTCCCCAGTGGAGTCGCCAAATTGTAGGCGTCGTTCGAAGTGCGCCTACGTTAAAAGCATGTGGTGAATATGCTTGGCACTCATAGGAAGCGGGAATTGACATATACGGTAAGGGACACGATTAGGGATAAGGAAAGTAGGGAGCCGCCAACAAGTTTTTAAGGAACTTGTAAAACCGTTCACGGATCATAAAAAGGCAACCACGATAAGGGACAACGAAGGGAACAACGATTGACCCGTGAAGGTTACACCCCATTCATAATCCATGAGATTACTAACTCCATATGGTTTTGGAACCACGAAAGGAGGATCGGGGATGATGGTACGAAGTGAGTCATGGAGTCACATTTGCCCATATTGGCCTCTACTCGATTCTTATATTGAAAAGCATTCATGTGATCTCAAAGGCATACAAACAATAATTCAATTCGCTCCAAACTATTATTTAACTAAATTGGTTCAAAATTAATGCACACATAATTCTAAAAATTTGGTGATCACTTCAATTAATGATAAGATTAAAAGGATCCTAAACCGGTTGTCCAAATTATCTTATTAGGCGTGACTTTCAATTACATATTCCCTTTAAACATGCAATATGGTGATCAAAATAAATAATAGAATCAACATTAATACCAATTTAATCACAATCCCAACAACGTAAAATTGTTAGAAAAATAATAATAATAATAATAAAAGAGCATGATCCTTACTTTGAATCTGTTTGTTTGCAACTACAAAATAATAAACGAGTTAGTAACTTCAAGGAAATAATAAAACAATAACTAAATTAAATTAAATAAACTAAGGTTGATTTTGGGGCCAAACCCTCAAACGATTCTACCTTTCACGCCTTGGCTTAAGGACAGAAACTCGAGTGAAATATGGACTCCTTTGAGTGCTTGAAGAAGGAATTTTGAAGTGAAAAGGGTAGGCTAGTGTTTAGGTTAATAGCATAGAAGAGAGAAAATAAGAATCATAAAAATCCTGACTGCCACGTACATCAGAAATGAGGGGGTATTTATAGGGAAATGTGCTGAGGGAGCACACGGAACCCTAAAATGATAAAAGCCCTAAAAAAGTATCCCGTGACACGGTCAGACTGTACCGTCAAACGGTACACTTTCCCGTGACACGGTCAGTTTTGGAGTGACGCGGGAAAATTTTCAGAAAACGGAATGAAAAACGCGTTAAGGGTTTACGCGGAAAGGACACGGAACATCCCGTGTCACGGCAGACCTCCCGTGTCACGGGAAGTCCCACCGTCAGACGGGAAGGGTTCCCGTGACACGGTCAGGCTGTACCGTGACACGGTCAGTTCCAGTCCATTTTTCCGTCTAAATTCATTTTTAACCCTAATTTCTTTCGGCTTTTTAAGTGCCGATTGATAATTTCGGGCTTTTTTCTGACTTTTATTATTCGGGCTAAAATAAGAAAAAAATAATAAAATAAAAATAAATAAAATGTTTGGGCCAAAAATAAATAATAAAATAATAAAATAATAAGGTTTGGGCTTAAAATTAATTAATAAGCTTGGGCTAAAATTAAAACTATGCTTTTACCAAACATCAAAACTAATCCATGGACCTTTCAAAAGTATAAATTTAATAAAATACGATTTTTTAAGCACTCTCGGGATTAAATACTAAACCCGACCAATAGTGGCGGTGAAAGGTTATTTATCATCGGGTTTGGTTTTGGGGAGACATTTTTAGGTGTCTACACTTATCGTCAAAGCTATCCTTTTGTCTTTAAATTAATGCTTGGTCCTGTCTAGGTGCTACAACCTAAGTATCTTTGGTTTGAAGGCTAGTCTATATTATGTTGCTTTAGAATATTCAAATCTAAATAAGCTTTTGTTAGGAGCATTTATGGATGGTTGTGTCTGTTTAATTTTATGTACTGGAATTCGTAGCTTTGTTGAATGTGTTAATGCGGTTAGTATTATCTTTTTAACAAAGCTCATGTGATTTATCTGTATTAGTGGTTTCTATCTCACTGCTAACTTAATGTGAATTTTTTATAAGATGATTATGCTCTGTACTTTGTTGACTAACTTCCATAAGTTCAAGGAATTTTTATAAAAATAGCATAGAAATAAATTTCATAAAAGCAGGACATATAAATACCATAATTTTATAGATAGAATTTAACATGCACATTAATGTAGCGTTACATTAGGCAATGATCTTAGTACGGTGTTTGTCAGGAACACTAATCATTGTTAGTGTTCCTGGGAAACCCTCAAAAGATTATCTTCTACAACATCTTACTCCTATATACATGAAACTAAGAAATTAAACTGGAGATTTAGTACTACATGATGCTGGATTCTTATATAAAATACGTAGGCAACTATCTATTATGCTTTGCATTTTGAGTTGTTCTGTGATTCCAGCAATTGCAAAGTTCTTATAGTTGCCTATATATTTTTTAGTCTAGCAAAATATTTAGAATTTAAAAGATGTTTGGATAGTGCACCTTAAATAGCTGATGTGAAACATTTCATTAGATTACTATATATTTTTTTGCATTTCAGGGACTGATCATATTCGGTGGCAGATTGGATGAAAGATTATTTCAGTTTCTCGGTCTTCACAATTACAGGTTTGGCCTGCTTCTGCCCAGTTCCCAATGGTGTTTGGACATCTTCTGCATGATCCTTTTGTGGAGAAATCTCTGGGACTTGGCATGTGAAGTGCTTCTTTGGGGTCATTCCGCCAAAGCAAAGTTTTTTTCTTTGCACGGATTTGTTATAGTGGCTGCTCGGACTCATTTTCTTTATCCCCCAATTCTGTAGGGCTTTTCTCTAAAGTTTTCTTGCGCTTAAATGATTCAACATCTTGCTGAGGTAACTCAAGTGTTTCAGTGCAAGGGTCTTCCTGTGTTTGCATTTGGGAAGAAGTTTTGATGTTTGGGGTTGGAATGACTGGTTCAGGATTTCCTAATCCCACAGTCTGCTGCGCATCCTTTTCATTTCCATCTTTTCCTTGGTTGGAGCTGCTATCAAATGGTTGCAACGCTTCTCGTGTGTTAGGATCTTCCTTAGGTTCAATGCTCTTGAGAGTCCCCTCTAGGATATAGTTCTGTCCTAAATGCAATGTCAGGCCTACTTTAATGTAGAACGGCATGCTGCTGAGCATGTCTTGAATAACCTTGAAAGCGTCATGGTTATCCTATATTGAATTGATAACTTTGTTAGAGTCATGCCGATAATATGGCAACATTAACACAATAGAGTAACGCATTAACAGTTTAATACATGAACACATTAAGACATGAACATATTAACACATTAAGACAATAGATTAACACATCTTGCAAAGGTGACTAAAGTATCATTAACACATTAACTCAATAGAGGTGGGACTGATTAGTAGCATTATTCTTCATTTTATGCTTTGCTTGATTTATTTGCTCCTTTTTTCTTTATATATTTTTGTAAATGGTATTGATTAGCAACATTACCCTAGAGTTTGTGATTTATTAAGGACATGCATTTTTACTCTGCATTTGTGCAAAAGTTTCTTTTTTTTGTGTTCTAATTCACTGAAATATAACATATATACTGCTTTATATGTTCATCTTTACTGGACTTTTTGACATACTATTGTTGATTATTCATTGAAAAAGCTATATGAGCTGGCAGGTCACAAACTTAAGACAAACACATTAATTTGGTTGAATTTGGAACTATAAGCAGAACATAGATGAAATAAACAATTCAAAAATTTTTGGATAGCATAATTTTGTGGTGCACATGAAGAGCTAGCTGGTTTAATGGAAGGATACAAGAAGCAAAAATAAGTGGAGTTGATCAACTTATTCTAGTATAATTTTTTTTTTGTTTTTTTTTTTGTGGGGGGGGGGGGGGAGAATCTTTTTAGTATAGTTACCTGAACCAAGAGTTTTAAGACTATAATGATTTAAACACCTAGGCAAAACTCTATATAATTTCTGAAGTATAAGCTGCTCTAAAATTAGGGTCTTTAATTTGTATAGTATGAGCTGCTTATGCATCCTCATTAAATGACCCTTATTTTCCATTTTGATATCCATAATAGTCATTGTCTTCAAAAGTAGTAGATGTGAGCAGATTCAACTTGAGAGAGATTAAATCTAACTTGAGTAATCTCAAGCTCAACTATATTGTTGCTTGTAATAAAAATGCATCAACTAGAACTTTCATGTATTCTTACATAGTTTACAAAGTATTCATAAACTATTCTAAAAATTAGAATGTTAGTATATAGTAATTGTAACTTACTGCTTCTTTTATGGCATAGATTTCAGCTGCGCTACACCTGAACAATCTTTCTGTGTCATCATTGAATGTGGTGAATGCCATAGTACCTGTGTCATCACTTGCCTCAAATTTAAAAGTAATCCTGGCAGAAAGGTGTGATGATTTTTGTTAGCTACAGTCTTAACAAATAGGTATGGTTTTAAAAATGAGATGGAGTTATACCTCTTAGTGGAAATGCATTCTTTCTTTGAACAAGAAGAGCAAGAATAGCGCTTATGCAATGGAAGATTGGTGCGTTTCCAGCAGTTCGAACAACCTGTATATGCCTTCACTTTTTCTAATTCTGCATACTGAATGGTTACTTCTATCCATAGAAGTTCATCCTGTAAACTTGAATAATTTGAACAAATGTTATTCAATGAAAGTTAAACATACTTAAAGGATAGCTACTCAAAGTAGCCTATCAAAATAGCATAATTATTCAAAGCTACTTAAAGTAGCATACTTAAAATATGTTTTGACTATCTTGTAAGATAAAACTAAATAGCTTAAAATTAATCATGATTATAGTATAAGTAAGAGCATGATTATAGCATAAACAGATTATTATAAGAATAATTAAACTAATGTAATCAGATTTAAGATGCTTTATACTATTTGTATGTGTAGTTAATGTACAGGTTACCATAGTGCTTGACATAGGTTAGACTATAGTTATGTATATTATTTTAGTTCCATCATAAATGTAATAGAGCTAACATGATCTTCACATATATAAAGTAATAAATGTATACCTTTTCATCCTTTAGCAGTAAAGTTTGGAATCTAACTGTTTTTTTCGAAGATAGTGTGTCCCTTCCCTTTTCAGCAACAACTACCCTTACTATATAAGATTTGCTTGCTGCATTTAACTGATTCAAGTACATATACTCTGGTTTCTGCCTAGCTGCTTTGTATTTTTGACCTGTGTATAGAAACCTTTCTATATTATTTTGTATAGTAGGAGTGCTACATTGATAATATCAAACATTACAATAATAAATATCTATTTAATCTTAAGTAAACAAGCAGATAATATGGAATTTTTGAAGCAAAAACATTAAGAATAAGTATAGTAAAGGATTATGCAAGTAATCTGTAAAAACAGAAACCATACCTGCCATGGTTAACTAAGTTAGTGCTCCATGGTTTGATTCTTCTGTGAAAAAATCGAAATTCTAAGGAGCAAATGTTTTTATATAAGTTAAGACAGAATTTAAGAATAGAAAATAGAAGTTAGAAATTGGGAAAGGGTTTGGTAACAGTAGTCAGAATTACCAATGGTAATTTTTTCAACCTTCTTACTGTTTCTATTGTTCAACCATACCTCTGGTAAAGAATTCTAGCTGCCCACTGTACTTTTATATTCATTTTTAAACCTTGGAAAAGTTTATTTTCTTTATTTAAAATAGAATAATAGTAACTTTCTTTTTGTAAAAGATCTGAATTCATGACAGCCACACTTTAGTAAAATATTGTAGTACAATCTTCCTTTTTTAAGGGAATGGCTTCTACAATCTGTCAAAATCATATCAGACCTAAAACTGATAGCATTAGTCTATGTAATATATATATATAGAAATTCGAAATCTTTATTTTGCTTGAAAACAGATTGTGTACATTTGACCTTAATGGGCTGCCATGTAAGCTTATAGGCTTTTAAAACCCACAAGAACAAAAAAATTTGGGCTTTTAAATGTGCATTTTATAGCAATCCTAATTTATGGCAAAGAATGACAAATATTCAATTCTATTTTTCCCTTAACACAAGTTTCTTGCATAGTAAATAAAGCTAAGTATTAATCTAAAAACATTTTCAGTCAAAGGCTTAATTAGCTCATCAGATGAGTTAACTGAACTCCTCTTACCCATTACTCTGAAATTCTTAATCTGTCATGAGATTGAGCACTGTGAGGCTGAATATTTGACATTTGCTAGGCTTCTAAGTTTGTTGGTGAAGTTGGTTACAAAAGAAGTGTCATTAAGGGCTGGAAGGGTGGGCTTAAAGAGAGGAAGTTTTTTTTATTGAGGTTGATGGTTTGGGGTTGTGGTATTCAAGGACTCCGCAACAGTAGAATTGTCAAAGGTCGGTGCCGCTTCTTGTAACATAAGGCCGAGCCATCATAAGGAAGGTAGCACCAGGGTAATGAGGCTAAAGAAGAGATCATCATTAAGTGCAGCATTAATCAGCCTTAGGAGATAAGTTTTGCCAGGTTTTACAGCCAATTTGAAGGTTTCTGCAGATAAACTTTTGTGATTATTCACAGTTTATATATTCAGTTGAGTTATTTAAGACAATGTTAAATTTTCCTTGCATATACCTTTAGCTGAGCCAATGTATAATAGTCTAGGAAGGCCATTGATGGTGTAGGCATCTGATACATTTGGACCGCCTCTTGTTTTTATTGCTTGGTTAATGACTGCCTCAGTGCCTGCATTCCACCATTCTCCTGCAAGTCCTATGATACTATCATTAGAGAACTAAAGAGATATTAAAATTATCATTAGGGAGGGAAAGAGATATTAAAATGAGAGGCTCAAAGAGGAAATTTAAAATATTATGTACTGTACATGCAAAGGACATAGTTCAGTGGCATAAGGATCATGGAATGTGTAATTTTGCAACCATAAAGGAAGAATTTGGACCTGATCACGACTTTCAGCATAAGCTACACACTTCTCAGTGTATCTTCTATTAGTCAAGCTTAACATAATTTCATTCATGGACCATTCTTTATCCTTCTTATTTTTCAGATAGTCAATCCACTTGTCAGAAATATGCATTATTAGGTGATAGGGTTTCTTGTAGTTGGAACCATCCCACGCATTGAAGACCCTGATAAGTTGAGCCGCCTTAGATTAATGAGAAAAGTTACGATATTTTAGAGATTTAGAAAAATCAGAAATCTCAGCTCAAACAAATTAAAGTCTTTTAGACTTGCAACAAACTTACCGAGCAGCAACAGCCCATTCACGATACACAATGTTCCCTTCTTCATGATTGAAACCAAATTTCAAGTATCCTATAAAATAAACATAATTAATATGAATGTATAACTAATATTCCTACATGCCAAGCTACATGGTGACAAAAGGTGGCATCATAGATAGGCTATAGGCAAGAACCATACATTTTTCACTTAATACAGCATAGAGACATAATTTACAATTGATGCATTACTGGATACTTCAACCTAACTAAAAGATTATTGTTTAAGTGTAAACATTTTAGCGGGATTTTGGTGCAGATAAGAATATCACCTTGAGAAAATTGCTCGAGACCAGCTTCGTAATTTTCATTGAGCTGATTTTGATCCACGTATCTCTTCAGTCTGTATTCAAAATGATCTATGTAGGGTTCCAAGGAAAGATCCACATCCAAGATTCCCAGATTCTCTGTCTCTACTTCAGCATTTTCCATTGCTTGACTGCTTTCAGTCGCACTTGCTGAGATTGCAGGACAATACTTCATCTGTCAAAGAAAATGGGCATTTTTAAGCTACTGCATCTAGGATTCTAGACAAATTTCCAGTACTGTGAGGGTTTACAGGAAATACTGGACATCAATATATACAATTAAATTTTCAGCAATACTCAGTTATTGCAAGATGTTGATGAGCACTTCAACATTGGAGATTAAAATCTGATGAAAATTATTTCATAACTTTTTAACCATTGAATATACAGATGATTACTTTAATCATCATAAAAACTCATGGAAACCAAAAAAAAGTTACATTTTAGTAATGAAAACACACACGATGCAGTTCAATGCTGATGTCATAAAGCCATTTGAATCAATTTCTCCTCATTCCCGAATAAGATAACATTTTAATACCGCCCATCATCTGTCTACTACAAGTCTACAATTAAAGAAAATTGGAAGTATGACTACTTATTGCTTAGAACTTGCAGTTTGTAAGAGCATTGATTAAAAGATCATCCCTGGCAATGCATCAAGCTTATGATGCAAGAATTATTCATAATATGAGAGGATGAAGACTCAAGTTTAGCTTACAGAACACACTAGTTGAGATCATAACTACTTTTGTGCCCGTGACATGTAAATATATGCACCACATCAGAATAAAGAATTGAAAGTGAAATGAAGAATCTGCTGAAAAATAAAACCATATAGAATAAATAAATGTCATATTTGAGGAAAGCAATGTGAAAAAACCCCCACAAAAAAATAGTTATAACTTTATGCATGACCTAGTATAGAAACCTCAAATCAAATTAGCTTTCTCTTCAAAATTTTTGCCCTGCAATGCAAAAATGATAAGCTATTTATTGACGGTCATTTAAGTTTTAAACCTGTTGATTAACCTGAACAAAAGTTAAACATAGAATAAATTAGCTTACCGAGCTTAGTTAGTGCATAGCTGCCTAGATTACTCCTGCTATCTTTAGGACCGCATAAGATACAACATTTTTAACAGAGTTCTCTGAATGCTGTAAAGTAGGAGCTACCGATATAACTTTCACTTTATATGCAGATCGTGCACGTGAAAGCGCCACATATAGCTGTCCATGTGAAAAACATGAGCGAGGGAGATAGATTAACGCTTGATCTAAAGTTTGTCCCTGTGACTTGTTAATAGTCATTGCAAAGCTCAACTTGATAGGAAATTGGCTCCTCTGAAATTGGAAAGGATATTTCTGAGAGCTCGATGGCTGAGTTTAATTCTAGGTATGAAAACATGTTCTCCTTGATACTGCCCGACCGACATCACACACTCAATTAAATTAGGGATAAACCTTTTACATTAGAAGACGTGTTCCATTGCATAAACCAGAAGAGGGAAGGAGGTTTCTAAGTAATATTACAGGCAATTTTCTTTGAGCATAAGATTGTGAGGACTCATTCCCCCTGGACATAGTTTATTTAGGAATTCCGTAGGATATACACTGCCACTATCATCTAGAATAGTGTCATAGCTTGTGTAAGAGATGGCTTGTCCTGGGAATCTCTCGATCATGAAAGAATTTATAGTATCAACGTCGTCGTTTATAGGTGTTAGAACAGCCCTTCTTGAAAAGATCTGAGGATCTAGAGCACCTGAACCAAGTTCTGGAAAAGAAGACTGAAGTAACTCTTGTATTGGATCAGCATCAGGCTGGAAAGTTTGCACTATCTGTGGAGGCAACTGAACAAAATCATTTTCCATGGTTTGCAATTCACCGTTTCCTAGTGAAAGCAAAAAACTGACAGAATGAAGGATCCTCCTTGGCTCTAAGATTTTCAGTTAATCTGAATCTTCTCAAATGCTGCCATATATAACTACTCACTACACTTGCTTCGACTACTTCTCTCTGAGTCTTGTTAGGAACAACATGCAACACTTGTCGGAAATCTCCACCAAAGACAATTACTTTCCCACCAAATATAATATCACTATCGCATATGTCTTGCAATAAAAGGTCAAGAGGTTCTAGATTTTGCTTGTTTGCCATTGATGCTTCATCCCAGATTATAAGAGATGTTTCCTTTATTAATGCTGCTAAGCTACTTTGCTTAGAAACACTGCACGCTAATGAAGCATCACTATCCATTGGAATCTTGAATCTTGAGTATGCTGTTCTACCTGACGGAATATTTTCCGCGGCTATTCCAGATGTAGCAGTAGGTAAAACTATCTTATTCATGAGGCGAATCTCAACATATAATGCATTATATAAGAACGTTTTGCCGGTTCCACCAGGACCATCTACAAAAAACGCCCCTGGTCTTCCTTCCACTATATGCTGCCTAATACAAGTAAAACTTTCCTTTTGTGCGGTATTTAGCAAGCCATGGCTCTCGATACAAGCCTGAGGAATCGGAGCATCTAAGGCATCTTGAATGTCTTTTGTTCTATCAATCTGGTTATCATTGTCATCCACTAAAACAGCAAACCACAGGCAGATAATGACTTTCCCATGGCCTCTAGATGCTGCTCAACTAATCTGACAGTTAATCTCTTAATTTTGCTTTTACACCAGGGTATTGGTGTGCAAAATCTTCTGACAATGCATAATAATATTTATGCCATAATTCTTTAGGGTCACTTGGCTGACAAAATATAAGAACAGTTGCAAATAGTTGGCGTAAAGCCCCAAGGAGCTGAAGTTCAGTTGCTTCAGCCAAACAAATGCTTGCAGCAGCATCCTCTTCCAAAATGCCAGCTTTAAGACATGCTTCTTTGAAAGTTGCACACACATAACCTTCAGCCGTGCGCAGGTCTGTGAAATATTTTGGACTTTTGACATTCAGTAATAGAAAAGGTAAAAGCGTTCACCCTCCGAAGGAACGACAAAAGCTAATCGCCCTATCATCACTTTTTTATTTTGCCGTTCGGACCATGATTTTGCTGAAGCATCCCACTTATAGTGTTCAAGAAATTCTACATATGAGTAACCAAGACCATTATCAGTAGCTGCATTCATACGGAAGAACTCTGTTAATTGAGTCTTAGCATAAACACCGCTTGCAATACCAATATCCATATGTTCATAAGGGCGTACACAAACAGTGTTCATGTCTGGAATATGAACTGACAAAGGTAAGACTGGTGGATGCATCTCAAATAAATCAAATCCAAAAATTCTCCAAGGTGCCTCACATGGTGACACCCACCTCCCTGACTGAAACTGAGCAATTTCATCATTAGAATTTTTATCTTCAGCCAAAATATTGAAGGCCACTAGATCATGTCCCTTGTAAACATACTATATAAATATTTCACTGCTTTAATAGTTGAACAAACTTCTACGTTCAAATGATAATCAAAGAGTGCTGCGAGGTAGGGGTTATAAGGGACAACCCATCGATTATCTAACTAAGCATTTCTGACTTTCACTTGTTCTCCAGTATCAGTTCTCTTATAACAAGGATAGCCATCTTTATTTGTTGTTGTTTGTGCGGTGAATTGTTTTGGGTACCCATTTTTACAAGAAACAACATTATCCTTCTTTCTCATACAAGGACACTCTGGATTTAAGTGGCCACATGGTCCATGCATCATATGCCTTAACACAATTTTACGCAGCTCAGGCTGAGTAGCAGGAGGTATTTCTGCACAAACATATCTATCATAATCAGCAGGACACTTCATCTTATGCTGTTGCTCCATAATCAAGAGAAAATGAGCATGTGGCAATCCTCTTTTCTCAAATTCTATGACATATATCATTGCTACTACTTTACCAAATACTTTGTCTTTCTTTAATTTTTTTCAGAGCAATCAACTTTGCTCGAAATATACGAGCAACTAATTCTGGCCGGTCTTGTGCAGTCTCACCGGGCTCTAGTTCGGCTTTTATTTCTGGCCAATTTGCGTTGCAAGTCATAGTGAAAAAGAGATCAGGTTTCCCGTATTTCTGAACAAGATCCATTGCATTAAGATATCTCCTTTTCATATCACGAGGGCCTCTTATAAATGATGGTGGCCGCAAAATGAACTTATGACCAACATTAGCTGCACTTGTCTGGCCACTCTCTACCGTGTCTAGAATCCCTTTATAAAGATCCGCTCTTATTGTATCTTGATTTTGCCGAAAAAAATCTAACCTTGTGTTTTCAACTTTGATATACATGTCTGTGATGTACTGCGGAAATGCACGGCCTGCTCTTAAGAGCATGTTTAATTTCATGCTCTAATTTGAAGCTTATAACAATCGTACTCCCTTGCAGAGATATTCTTATCAGCTTTGGTATGTCTTTAGACGCTCCTATAAACATTAAAGTCCAGAGAAAATTCAAATTAAGCATGCGATAAGGAAACATAGGCATAGAAACAATTTTAAAAAGAATACCATAGTTCTTTTAAGAACTTACGAGCAGCCTCTGCATCTAGAAAATCTACCGGAGTGTGCACCGCCCATGACTGTATCAGATCAGGTTCGGTTGCCATTTATCTATCTCCACCATAAGAAGTTTTCTTTAAACCCTGATGCCAACCACATTCGCCTCTTAAGAATAGCAGGGGATAATGCAAAGGATCATAACACCCATAAAAATGGGCAATCCGATGGGATTTTGAAGACTTTGCTGTTACAAGAATATGCGGCCATGAACTCTGACTTGACGAAACACTATCAGGCCAGATAACAACAACTTCATCTGAAGTGGGAGCATTATATACCCTTTGATCTGGTACAGTGTTTGAATTTATTATAATGTTAGTACGCTCATCAAAATTTACTTCTTTCAAAGAGCGGAAAAATCTTGCATATGGATTATCTTTAGTTATTTGCATTAATTTGTCAATAACATCCTGTCTTAATTCAGGAAAGCAGTCTGTTCTGTGTTTCAATTTATTTTGGCCATCATAGAAATAAAGCTGCAGATACTTTGGACCATTCTCATCTGGTAATAAGTCTGGTACAGAATGATATATTTGGCCATGTAGTTTAAAGACATATATACCTTTGTATGTTTCTCTATTAGTCTTACCTCCAATTGAACTAAAAGCAAATAAGTTATTGTATAATCGAGCATATCTTCTAAAATGCAGAGCATCTTCATCTCTTGAAGTAAAAAGCCTTACTAATTCAGGGAGATATTCATTTTCAGCTATTTTAATATCACCATTGCCACAACAAAAATGTAGAGTTTCAAACTCACACTTCTTAGCTCCACATTTATCACAGTAAGTAGGTGGAGATAATTCTAGGGGATGCGTAGGTAATGGTTTTCCTATAGTAGCCGCAGGGGTTTCTGTAATAGCATTAAAGGATATTTGAGATAATTCGATTGTGCAACAGTGTATATGTGCTAAATGCGTAAACTGAAATCACTACTAAACCTTACTTTTAGCAGCATCCCTTAGATGTTTTGAACTTTGGCCATTTGTTGGTGTAACTCTGAGAGCCAAAGGCCTCTCTGTAGCACGACCAAAAGGAAATTAAGCCAGATCTTATTAAAAAGTACTATATATATATTCACTTTAGTAACTCAAAGTAAGGCAAAAGACCCACTTTCAAGTACAATATATTTCGAAGGTCTTGATTTAGGCTTTTTTGACTTTGGTTGTTCTGCTTGACTATACAAAGAATAAAGAACTTATGAATTTGGTTCACAAAAAAAATAATTTTATTATTTTAAATGATCTATTTTACCTAGTAGAATTATGAGTTGATAGCAAAGCACTCATTCACTTTGATTTTCGACCTTGAGATGATGGTCTCTTAAAATTAATAGGTGCATCAGCTATCATATAAACAATTAAAACAATAACTTAGCAATTTGAACATAAAATAAACATCATAAATCAGTATAGCAATGCGCATATAAATAGAAAAATTTATCGTAAGCATTATGCAAATTTTTCAGATATACCCATATTACTTTGCTGCAGACCAAGTCATCTCAACAATTTGCACATTTCAACAATTTGCACAAGTCACTAATGATTCCAGTTTATGTCATTAACTGTAAAAAGAAAACATATAAAAATTCTTAGAAGGTGCAGTTAACAAGATGTTTTTTTAATATAAAACAAGGAGCAATTTAAAAAACTCTGCAATTTAAATTCACACAAATTCGATCAACCTAATACATTAACCTGCATATCTCCTTCAATTCAAGCAAATGTTTACATGTTCTAGTATTTGTTCTGCGTAAACTCCTGTGATTAAAGCAACATCAATAACAATAATTCTTGAATTTTACACTGATCTCGAGTTGAAATTGCAATATCCCCCTATTTTCACTGCCAAAAAACAAAATAAAATGAATTCTACTAATCTACTACGTTATTTTGTACCTTAGTAAGAACATCTGCATATCATTAACAATACTTGCTATGTAATATTTTATAGAGCCATTGAAACTTGTCATTATCTCATCTTGTTACCTCCTCTAACTTTAATCCTACCTTTGAGATTTCCTTTTCTCCCCTATTCCCTCACATGCTTATATACATACATGAACTAAGTTATACAATCGAAATCTGAATATCAGTATACATACATAGCTACCACTTTAAACTGCGAACAGAAAAGCTAATGCGTAATTAAACTTGTATTTATATTTTCCATGTAGCTTCCAAAAATAAAACACTGAACATATTTAACACCAAACATGAAAGAGAACTGTCAAATTAAGAAGACATACAATCAACAATAAAATTAATCAAAGAGCAATATTAAATTAAGAAGCCATGCAAACAACAATAAAATTATAAAATTTTCTTGAAGCAACTACAAATCAAAAGTGCATCCATTTATTATTCAAAATACACATTACATTATATTTCAGTTACAGCCTTCAAGTCTGTTTTCTAATGAAAAATTTCAGCCATTACTACTCATAGACTTAGGCTCTAAGAAAAAAAGGAAAGATAATAAGCATATGTCAATGCTAAACCTAAACACCTGTACCCAGGCAAACAACTTTCTACCCAAAATACTAAAGTAAGACTCCAAATAGGCTAAACAAACTTTGCGCGATTCCAAACAGTCTCTAATTCAGGTATGTCATAAACCAAAGGCTCAGCAACTCTAACAGTAGAAGAAGATGCTGCTTCTAATGCTGTAACCAAACGTCTTTTCATTGGAGCAGCTGGAGGCAAACCAATCTTAGGTATTTGAAACCTCTCAGAAGTAGGAGTCAAGCATTCATCAGTAGCAAAGTTTTCTTCTCTGGCAGCCAAATGCTCCTTTAATTGGTAAAACCTTCTTTTTAAAGCACTACAAGCAACATGCTTCTCTGAAACTGCACCATAATTAGCATCAATGATCTCTAGATTATACTTAGTCACCAAGTAATGAATAGCTCTTTTGGAAGCCTTTTGCCTCGCATCAGTTAACTCAGGACAAGCATCACTATATATGCATTCCATTTCACCTCCATTATGTGGGCAAGACACTGTTAGCCAAGACACAAAACCCAAAATTTCAACCCAAACAGTCTCTAATGGACTCACTTCTGCTCCAGTCCTTGTAACAACAACTCCTAAAAAGCCTACAAAGTCAATCGTCACATGGACAACATCATCAGATGGTTTTTTGCCCAAATTCCTCTGTGCAGCAGGCATCACTATCCCTTTTTCACTACATAACTCAACCACCTTATGCTTAAAAAGCTTACTGCATAGCTGATACATCCTTGCTCTATCGAATGTAAAATCATTCACCCGCACCCCAAATTAGTTCATCAATTTCTGCACAACTTTTTGAGTTGCCCTCTCTTGGGACTCCTCAACGGTATTAGCTTCCCCACTGAAAAATACAAATTCAGACTTCCCACATCCAGTCTTAATCCAAACACAAGCATTATTCCTATCCTTATCTATGAAACCATAAACCGGTTTAGGAAAATTTAAGCAATCAACCAATTGACCTAAAAGAGGTCGAAATGGAATGGCAATTTTGCTTGACTAAATATCCATAACCTGTAACCGGCAAAAAAAAAAAAAAAATTGAAACATATACATCCTCTAAACTTAAACTACAATCAAAGTACAACAACTAAGGTAACATATGTAAGAAAACTAAGCCACCTTATAAAATTCCAATTTAAATCACCAACAATAAACTTACCAACAGTAGCTGCAAGTAATTTTACCAGTACAGCCAGCTCCAAGTGCATAGACCTAAAATTATTCTTTTTTTCCTTTTTTTTTATCCAAAAAAAAAAGAAAAAAACACAAAACACAAGGCCAAAAAAAATTAAGCTATCTAACCAAATTCAAGGTTTCAGAAATAACACAAATGCATAAACAACCAATTTCAAGTAATTGTTCTAATTTATTTATCTATAAAAAATGCATAACTGTAAAATAAAAAATTGTACATCAATGTATGTCCAGGAAATTATGGTATATAAAAGTTCAAGATTCATTAAGTCAATATCCAATGCTGTCTGTACAAATGAGATCCATATGGAATTCAACCCATCATATTACATTTTTATGAAAAACTAACTAACCAATTACCCCAGCAAAGTTTCACATACAAACCTTTTCTTTCAGAAGATAAAGAAGAATTAGCAAGTCAGAAATCTATAATAAATTGAAGCAAACCAAACATGCAGCACATATATATAAATAAATAAACTGATAGCAAAGAATAAACCAAAGGACATATCCCATATATTTTATTTGCCAAAAAAGCCAGATCATATAAATTGTTCTAGTACATCATAAAAAAATATCTCCTCCTCAAAAATTATTAAATAATACACTGCAACTAAAAACGACATCTTAAATATACTCTAGTTTATTTTTATTATTATTTTAGTAGCTAAAAAGAGAAAAGTAATTTTTATCTCCTCAGAAAAAAAGGAAGTGAGTACACACTAAAACCCCTCTATCAATTTTTAAATACACATAGATACACATCACCGTACCAAACAATTTCCTGTATAAATACTATATTTGACTAGTGCACTCTCCAAAAGCAATTTCCGCTATCACTGTAGTCTCTGAAGCTAAGTTCATATTTAAATAATAAATTAATAAGACAAATTTACAAGAGATTATTTTTTGTTCATAATCTTTATAAAATCCTTAACAAATTTATAAGAGAAATTTACAGGACATTAATTTTTATGCACAATTCTAATTCTAATTTTATTTAAATTAGCTAACTTATGTTTTTAATTGATAATTTAATTATGAGCACTATAAGTAAATTGATACTATAAGTAAATTTGATTAAATTTGATACTGTAAGTAAATTGATACTATGAGTGATTCTGATGCTATTAGTAAATTTGATTAAAAACACTTCTCACGTCTTTATTTTTTAATTGATATTTTGAGTATGCACAAATTTACTTATAGTATCAAGATTATGCACAAATTTTCTGCTGACAAATACTCAAGGGGAGAAATTCTGAGTATGAGTAAAAGCACAAATTTTAATCAACATACCTTACAACAAGAAACAACCAGATCCAAAACTACACCACCACTTGCTCCTTCAAATTGCGCAACTACACCACCATCAGCTCCTCGAAATCGCGCAACTACACCACCATCAGCTCCTTGAAATTGCGCCATCGACTCAGCCGCTGCAACACCCATACACAATCAGAAAACAACAATTAATCTACTAAGAAAGAAAAAGGAAAAAACGAAAAGGAAATACTTAAACTTTATAAAAACAGAGGAAAGGAAGGAAGACATAGCTAATCAGGAAAAAAGCAGGAAAAAAAGAGAGAGAGTAAGTGGTAAGAACACCGATAAAGAAAGAGAAATAGCCACGCGTCAGCCCAGTGAGAGCACATGCAATGTAAAAGCGAAAAGACCGAAATAGCCCAGTCAACCTAGTCAATTAGGGAAGGGTGCTAAGGGCCAGGGAGGGCAAAAGCGTCAATTTCCTATTCATAAGGAACAGTAAAATTGCTACAGCCTTGGTGCTTGGGGCTTTTAGAAGGGTTATAGATTAGAGGCTTAATGGGTATCGTTTTGGGCCTGCGTTTTGTTAAGAAAAGGGTGTCGTTTTGGGCCGGGTGTACCATTCTCATGGTACACCCGGGTGTAGGGATTAGGAATTGTAAAAAACAAGTATAACCTTAGTTTTTTACTTGTATTTCTTGCAATTGTGTTTCAGGGAAAAAAAAAAGGAAACATCAAGATTGGAAAAAGTATTAATGAAAGAATGATTTTTTTTTTTTGAGGAAATGTGTAGACATACATTTGTGTCTCCCCAAAACCAAACCCGGTTATGAATACTGTTTCGGGGTTTTCTGATGTCCTGCGGGAGAGTTACAATTCCGAGACTGGAACCGGACGCCTGTACCTGCAAAATAACGGAGACTCCTGAGAGCTCCGCCTCCAACGGTCAAGTTAGTACCTGATTAAGGAGTAATTAATACAGAAATTAAAGTAATAAGGCCTCTCTAGGTGAGAGTATTTAATGTAGGTAATCTGCTTTGCTAGCGAGATCAGCCGGTTATTAGTGTGTTCCGTAATGTTTCTCCTCCGTTCCGTTAATTATTCGGTCCTTTGATTAATGAGGATTAATCGAGTATTTATAGCCTTGGGAAGCGTGCAACTCTCTAGGTTTAAGGTAAACCTAGGGCCGATCGGGCTTCTAGACTGAAATGGGCCTTGATGGCCGGTTGTCCCATTTGGCATGGGTGGACACGTGGCGTGTCTTAAGTGGTCCGTGGAGGACGCGTGGCGGAACCTGGTTGGTCCACTTGTCAAACGGTGCTTGGTGGATAAAAATCCCCTAATCATTTGCCCCTCACAGGTGGCACGCGACTGGTCACGTGTCGCCTGTGACAGGTGTCGCACGGTGACAGGCGACGGCCCGTTACAGGCGTCACCTTGCAGACGGCCGGGAGATTCTCCCGCCCAAATTTGAATTCGGAAGCGACCCTTCGCCTTCTCATTTTGCCTATAAAAGGAAGTGCTGACTTCGGTCATTTTCACATTTGAGAATTTTTGCGAGAACATTCGGACCCCTGAACTTGCTCTGACATTTTCGGACTTTTTCTGCCTACCGCCTGTTCTGACAAGCCGACTGACCCGAACTTTCAGGACTTCATCAACTGTCATCCGTTCAGGTAACTCAGTTCTCTTACTCTTAATTTTCTTTTTATTTTTTGAAATGGCACCATGGAAGCACACGACACGCCCTAAGTTAGTGATCAGCCGGTCACCGGGGACGGCTGAATCTAGGACTAGGAGTGCCGCCTGCCCTTTTCTGGACCCATCTTTGCCCTTTATACAAAGTCCGACTGAATCTGTGTCTATGCAGAACGTGATGGCCAGAACAAAAAAGACTGCTAGAATATCAAACTCAGACGGCTCCTCCCAAAGGGTACTCCTTAGCGAAACATCTGACCAGGCGCCAGATGTGGAACGAGGCGACTGTCAAGCTGACAGTTCTGAGAGAGGGACCAAGGTGTTCCCTTCTCATCTAACCGTGGACATGTCTAATTTACCTTCTGCTCCTTCTAAGGGAGAGGAGGCGGGCCCCTCTAGGAGAGGGGAGGAGTCGTCCTCTTCGGACTCGTCAGGGGACGAGTCCGATTCCAGCTCTTCTGACCATAGTTCTTCTGACCATAGTTCTTCTGACTCAGAAGAAAAACATAACCGCCTACAAGAGGCGAGAAGTTCCCATGCAGTGGAGAAGGGGGATAATTGGGCAGAGCCGTCCGCCTCTTACAGAGAGGAAAACACCCCCTACTACTGCAGGGTGCCCCGGGGCCGGATCGCAACCATGCGAGACAACGTGGCGAGCTTTATTGCTAACCACAAAATGAGCCCGGAGTATTTACTGTTTGTGCCGGATCCAGAAGATACTGTCGTCTGGCCGGCTGGTACCAGCTATGGTGACGGCTGTTTTGGCTGCTATGTGGCGGCCATCAAAGCTGGTCTGCGCTTCCCATTACATCCGGCTGTTCAGCGGATTTTAGATGGGTATGATCTGGGGTTATGGCAGTTAGCCCCCAACTCTTGGGTAAACGTACTCGGCTATGTGGCCGGGTGCGAACTGAACGGGGTGGAGCCAAGTTTTGAGGCTTTCGCCCACATGAACTATCTCAGCCGGACCCCTAAGTCGGGAGGTACCGGCTGGTATCAACTAACAAGCCACAGGGGTTACCTCATGACGAGAGGTAAGGCAAACAAATGGAAGGATTGGCGGAACACCTTCCTTATTATCGAGAGTTCAGACACGGAGCTGAACAAACGTTTTAACAAGTGGAACAGGGATCCGCCTCTTCTTGCAGGCGGCCGCAGCATGCCGCCTGTTCCCCCAAAGGCTAAAAGAGAGATCCTAGACAAAGGACTCTTCAAAGTAGAGACTAGGGTGAACTCTACTTCAGGGGTACGAGAGCAAGTACCCCTACACTGCGTCCCGAGCTTCAAGTGGCTCTATGATGAGTACTTCTTGGCCGCCTGTGGCCTCGGCAGTCGGTGCTCTAGAGGTAGCCGGCCTGACGAATACTCTGTTTTTTCACGCCTTGTCTACTTGGGATTTTTACTAACTTTGCTGTTTATTTCTTTCAGCCGACGCCATGAGTAAAATAACAGCATCTAAGACTGCGGCGGCCATGCTGCGGGTTTCGCTAATGAAGCAGTCGTACGCCGACTCCCCCAGCAAGGAAGCACCCTTGGTAAGCTTTGAAAACTCTTCCCCTTTAAGT